CGGGTGCGGGCCTCAGCAGCCCCCCGGTGGAGGAAAAGGAGGAAAAGGTGCTCGAGCTGCTGCCCCCGCCCCCGGAGGCGTCTGCGGGGGGGATCGGTGTCAGTGTCCTTGGGGTTTGCGGGTCACGGTCGTGCGGGGGAGGGGAGGGTCGCGTCGGACTGAATTGGGAAGGCGGGTATTTCAGCAAGAAAGTGGCAGGAGGCGCGTGGAGAGGAGGGAGGCCGGGTGGTTGGAGGGGCCGGGCTCCTGCGCAGATGCCCCACCGGCCGTCCGCAGACAGGACCAGCCTGTGCCCCTGACGGGCCTCAGGCGGCCGGCGAGTGCAGGCCCCCGACGACTCCCTTCCGCGGGGACCGCGCCGCCCCCGGGGCGGGCGCTGACTGCGGCCGCCTTGCAGATGCGCAGCACCAGGAGGGTGTCCGTGTGGCCCGTCGCCTTCGCCGGCGGCCTTCGGTACGAGGCCCCGCGGGTCAACGGGGCGGGGAAGGTGGTCGGCTGGAAGACGGTGTTTGACCCCCACCGGCCCTTCGCGATCGACATGGCCGGGTTCGCCGTGAACCTGCGGCTCATCCTGCAGCGGAGCCAGGCCTACTTCAAGCTGCGCGGCGTGAAGGGCGGCTACCAGGAGAGCAGCCTCCTCCGCGAGCTCGTCACGCTCAACGACCTGGAGCCCAAGGCCGCCAACTGCACCAAGGTGGGCCCCGCAGCACCTGGGGCCGAGGGCGGGCGTTCCCACGCTCCTCCGGGCCCTCCCTAGGGTCGGGAGCAGGAGCCCAAGGCTTCCCAACGGCCCTGCAAAGAGCCAGCCCAGAGCCAGCCCCCAACCCCCGCCAGGAAGGCGCTCACCGCCTGTTCCGCAGCCGGGCTAGTGTCAGGGAAGTGGGGAGGGTGGTGATCAGTGAGGCAGGGCCAAGGACTGTCCCCTCTCACCTCAAAAGAGCTGCGATCCACCACCTCCCTGCAATTACCGTACATGTGTACACACAGATGGACAAATGCATGCACAGACACACACACACACACACACACTTTTCCTAGTTTGAAATTCTCCAGCTAGGACCTGGGCTCTCACCTGGCTGAGCTGAAGGCTCCAGAACAATCTTCTGCCTCTCTAGACAGACCCACAAGAAACCCGGGGGGGCCCTGGCCTGTATGGCTCAGCCGGTTCAGCATCTTCCTGTGCACAGAAAGGTCGCTGGCTTCATTCCCAGTCAGGGCACATGCGCAGGTTGCATGCTCGATCCTTGGCTGGGGTGAGTGCAGGAGGCAGCCAACCGATATTTCTCCCTCTCCCTCTCCCTTCTAAAGTCAATAAAAACTTTTTTTTTTTTTTTTTTTTAAACGAACATGAAGGAGAATGAGAAGCCAGAGGAATCTTCGGATTTATTTGTCTATTTTTCTGTAGTTGTACACTTTCTGTTTCCAGCAGCTATTTTGAATGCATCATATGTACAAACAGCAAGAGTGAGGGAGTAGGTAGAAATAAAGAACAGTGGAGAAAATCCTGATGGAACAAGGGCAGAAAGGGAGGGGCAAGAGAAATACTTGCAGAGTGTGGGCAGGGGCAGGAGATGGCAGGGAGAGGTCAGGGGGCCTGTCTCACGTTGTTTCATGTCTCTGGACACACAGATCCTGGTCTGGCACACACGGACAGAGAAGCCGGTGCTGGTGAATGAGGGGAAGAAAGGCTTCACTGACCCCACCGTGGAGATCTGAGCCCCAGGATACAGGTACGGCGGGGCCGAGGGCAGCGAGCACTGGGCAGGGGTGTACCAAGTTTGGACACAGAATAAATCTTCCAAGACTTTTCCTCTTGGTTTTTCATTGTGAGGAAACAAGAGGAGAAGAGGCGTAACTGAAGTCCCCTTCCCATTGTGCTGTCTGGAAATTAACAGGAACCAACTTCTGCCACACAGCTGGGCCCTTCGGCCACCACGCCTCGGAAGCCTCTCCTTCCAGCATTGCCTGCTTACTCCTATTATTCTGGCCACGACACCTGTCCCATTGCAAGGCGCTACTGTGTACTCACTCCCAGGCAGCCTTTCCCTGTGGCCTCCTCCTTGGTCATGCCGCTGTGACAGGGACCCTCACTTACTGCTTCCATCTCACCTAGATGTCCCATGTCTCTCAACAGTAACATTGTAGTGCCATGGTGAAAGCGTGGACCCCAGAGCCTGATTCGGCTCCTGGCCTACCACTTTCCACTGTCTGACCTTTCCTTCTCTAGGCTTCAGTGTCTTCACCTGTAAAATGGGTTGTTACAGGTACCAAGGACAGTGTCTGGCACAGAATAAGTTCCATAAAAGTGTTGCTATTATTTCATTCTTTAAAATCCTCTATTGAAGTGCCCACATGATCTATATATGTTTTAGAAGTAAAGAAAGGATGTTCAGAAAAGCTAAATGAACTGAATTGCGCCAGGTGATTGGCAAAGCCAGGAGTCACCTCTAGGCATTTATTTCTATGATGTCATCACACCTCAGACAATGGGACATATCTGAACTCTAGCCCTGGGGTTTAGTGTCAGCTTCTGTGTCATGTTTGCAAGTGCCCTGTCCACTGGGGACCCCAGGATGTCATTCTGTCTGTTTTGTCCCCTGAACTTAAGAAATCGACTGGGCCAGTGCCACTGAGAGCCTCAGGCCAGACCCCCAGGCCCCGTCTCCTGCCCTCACGCACATCACCAGGGTTCCACAGAGGACCCCGGCACTGGGCTCTGTGCAGCTCCTCAGTGAACCCGGCTGGGAGCTAGGGTTGAGTAGCTTGGCCACACTGGCCGCCTGGACACCCCCTCACTCACTGCTCCTCTCCCCTCCACAGGAGCCTCTTCTCACACCCTGTTCCTGGCCTTCTCCCCATGGCTGATGGTCCCTCCAAGGCAGACTCCAAAAGAATGGCCATCACCCTCCTTTTTATTCTGAGGCTTCAGAGAGAGCCCAGCCTGATGCCAGGACAAAAGACAGAGAACCTAAAGCACAGAAATCCCAGACATGGTCTCTTCCACCCAGCAAGGCCCGCTGCTGGCCAAGCCCCCAGCCAGCACACTGGTGCCCCCACGCCTCTTCAGAGCTTCCTGCACGACAGGCCTGCAGGCGCAGACATGTGGGGCTCACCCAAGCCCCAGAGTGATGCCAGACTGCAAGGGAGGTGAAAAGACTCAGCGGTCGAGGGGAGGGTGGCCCTCTCAGCTCCTGCTCCTGGGGTCCAGCACGGCCACACAGGCTAGCCAGCCAGAGAATTCTGAAGACCGGACAGCAGGCCCTGCCGGGCATCAGGAGCGCCTGTCCTTCCACAGAGGGTTGCTCCCAAGTACACGTCTGCCTCTGTGGCTTTCCTCTAGTTCCAGAGCGTAAGGCCGTCTTTGATGCCAACAGGTGGCCAGCCCTGCATGGGGGAAGCCGGGCCTGCCCACATGCCCCTGTGCCTCAGGCTGTGGCAAAGAGCCCCTGCCTCCGGCCCAGGCCCCTCGAGCCTGCTCCTGGCAGCAGAGAAGCAGGTGGGCCCTCGAGCCAGCACAGGTCATGTCTGATCTGGACTAGACCACATGAACCCCGATCCCCACACTGCTACCCCACTGCCCACTGCGCTCCAGGGCCCCTTGCTGGGCCAGGATGGGGAGGGCAGGAGCCCTCTTCCTGAAGCCCTTGAGATCCAGACCTCAGTGGCTCATGTGAGCCGGGCAGGAGAGGCGGAAAGAGGCCTGAGGCCCGGCAATTCCACGACTCCTTCCTGCCCCTGGTTTGCATGCAGGGGGACTGCGTTAGCAGAGGGATTTGGACACTGGGGAAAGGATACCTGAGCACACACGACTTTGGAAATCCTTGTATTTTAAACACAGAATGGGAAAGAAAGTCTCACTTCTCCCTAGGTGGGGAGCATGCAGAGCAGGCCGCCTCAGGTCCAGCGGAGCCCTTTCCTCCCCAAAGAGCAGCGCGTCCCTGGGGCCTCCCTCCACCAGGAGTGTGCGGGGTTCTGCCGGGCACTGGGAAGTCTCTGGCTTTCTGACTAGGGCCAGCGCCCTCTGCTGGTTATCTCGCTCATGCTCCTGGACGTTGGAAGCACAATTGTCCTCCAAGTGGAGGGAAAGGAAAGGATTGAGCCTACTGAAGAGGTGTTTATTTTTTAACTGCTAACAGCACCCACTTCATTTAAACTCACAGGACCAGTCTGAGGACCACTGAGAACCCACTCCTGGGTGGGTGGGGGGATAAGACTTAGTCCCGCAACCTAAACATTCAAAAAATAGCACTGGCTGCCTATTTTGAAATGGACTGAATTTACCACAGTAGTCATGAACCCATCCAGTGGGACCGTATCCCTGAGATCCCTGAGCCACCTTGCGGAACACCCCCAACCTCTTACCTGTTCAATGGTTGCTTTGGAAATGAACCTCTCAGAATCAAGTGGCATGGCATGGGGGAGAGGGAGAGGCGGGCACAGGGAGCCATCCAATGAGTGCATCAGGCCCAGGCCTTCCACTGCCTCCCACTAAACCAGCCCTGAGTGCTCAGGTGAGCTTGGCTGGCCTTGGGCCACCTTCTCAGCCAAAAACAAAAACAACACAACCCAGGGCTCATTTTCAGGAAATTGACAATAAACAAAATGAGGTATTTTCTCTTTCTCCCTCTATTATTATTTTTTGGCAGATTCTAGGTGTTTTCAACCCATGTCCTCTTCAGCTGCATGTGGATATATTTATAATTGTAATCCTGGCGGCCTGCAGCTTTCTTCTTTGTTGGGAATGAGTTTGTTAAAAATCAGAATGCGGTCCATGACTACAATTTGTTTTCCAAACTCAGCCTGTTCTCTGCTCCCCGCCAGAGGCGTGAAGCTGGGGCTGGGAATCGAACAGAGCCGGGGGAGGGTGGAGCCCGTGCAACTGCGCCATCTGGTCTGTTTAATTTAACTGTATTTAATTTGTTTTCAAAATTAAAAGTCAAATATGGTTTTTAACATCCTTAATCCTCCTCATCCCTGCTTTATTTTACTGCCTTTTATTGCTTTAACCATCCACCGAGTGTGTATTTGTCCGGTGCCTACTAGGAACAGCATTATTCCAGGAGCCAGCAGAGCAGTGCAAAACCAAAGCCCCGGGCTTTGCGGAGCTCACCTCCTCAGGAGGGCGTAGACAGACAGCAGCCACGCCTGCAGTATTCTCAGATGGGATCTGGTCTGAAGACAAGAACGAGCCTGGGGGTGGGAGCGGAGGTCAGTGGTAGGGAGGACCGACCCCTACACTGGGTGGTCAGAAAGGCCCCCCGTGAAGTGCCATCTGGGCAGAATAGCTGCATGCAGACATGCCATTATATGGGCCAGAGAATTCTGGAGAAGAGAACTCTCTCCCTGGTAGGAGAGTGCTTAGCATGTTTAAAAAACAGCAAAAAAGCCAGTGGCTGAAACTGGGAAAGGTGGGAGGGGTCAGTGTGGGAGATGGGATGGACATGGGAGGAGGGGGAGGCACAGAATATGTTGGTTGGTCCTAGAAACCAGGGTAAAGTTTTTGGCTTCTATGTGAGTGAAAAGGGAACCCTTTGGAGGGTTAGGAGCAGAGCACAGGCACGATCTAACTGGTCTTTTAGGAGAATCCTTCCACTTCCTGCGCTGAACGGTAAGCAGAGCTGAGGGCAGGCTCCTGGAGGCGATCAGGCAATAGGCCAGGCACAAGATGATGGTGAGGTGGAGGAAAGTGCAAGCTTTGGGGCACAGAGAAGTGGTTGGGTTCTGGATGTATTTAAGAGGGATAGCCAATCTGGGGAGAGAGCTAGAGGGACAGCTGCCAAGGTCCCTGGGCTGAGTCCCTCTCCCACATTCCCACAGACACCGTCTTTCCTGAGTCAAGCACTCCCCTCCACAGGCATCAACCCAGGCCAGTGAACTAGCCCCACCCTCCCCACTCCCAGGGGCTGCATCGTCGAACTCCTGCCCTGTGGAAGTCTGCTAGCTGTGGCCAGCCTGGGCTCATGGTGCACTTTCTTGGAAGGCTCTCAAGGAGGCCCAGAAACAGTGGCAGAGAGAACAGGGAGACACTAAGTTGTGTAGCTCTAGGATGGGGTTCATTTTCCCCTTGCATGCCTCACCAGTGCAGAACCCTCCCTCCACATGGCCAAATGGTCATCTGTTTTAGCCCAATGAACTCTGTAGGCTTCACCCTGATGACTCTCTGAGACCTCATCCCATCACAAAGGTCCACAGGCCCCCAGCGAGTGGTGATGGCCTTTGTGAGCCCTGAGAATTTTGCTGAGTGGCCTCAGACCCAGCACTGGTGCTGTGTTTGACTCTGTTATCAACCTGATAAACACTTCCTGCCCCTACCGAGAACCTACCTCACACAACTCACGTACTACCAAAGGTTCTTTCAGTGACTGAGCCTAACAGGCAACTGGCAGGTGGAGGCATTTTGATGACCTAATCCCAGGCTTGGTGCTTGTGGAAGTTGGCCCTGGTACACAGTTTGGACCCTCCCATGCACACCCTGGCCCAGCAAAGGCAACCAAAACTGTGGATTGCTTTGTAGCTTTAAACACGTAGCCCAGGACCAGTCACAGGCAGTGTCTGACTGACTGCACTTGAGGCCCCAGAACCAACACACCTGGTGGCAGGCTTCAGACCACATCAGAGCAGAACCAAATGACCTCCATAAGCAGAACACCCAAAGGGAGATCTCAGCAGGCACCAGATCCTGCTGGGGTGAATTCTGCTCCATCTGGTCAGCACCAGCACAGCAGCTCATACACTGTAGTTGGGGTCAATCCTCACAGCCAGCCCCATTCATGGATAGGCTAACAGAAATCAAAACAAAACAACAACAGGAGGCTCACCTAATCCACACAAGGGATATTCTTGGAGTACTCGCTCAGGTGATCAGGGAGACTGTGCCACTGAGCCCCACAAGACACCTACTACATAAGGCCACCCTACCAAGACTGGTAGATACAGCAGATCTACCTGATACACAGAAACAGAGAGAGGCAGCTAAAATAGAGAGACAAAGAAACATGCCCCAGATGAAAGAACAGGAGAAATCCCCAGAAAAAGAACAAAATAAAATGGAGGCAAACAATCTACTAGATACAGAGTTCAAAACGTGGTTATAAAGGATGCTCAAGGAACTCGGGAAGAATGGATGAACTCAGTGAGAACTTAAACAAAGGGATAGTATGCATAAAAGGGGACATAGAAACCATAAATAAGAACCAGTCAAAATGAAGAACAGAATATCTGAAATGAAGATTACACTACAAGGAATCAACAGCAGGTTAGATGAAGCAGAGGACCAAGTCAGCAGTTTGGAAGAGAATGCAGCAAAAATATACAATCAGAGCAGCAACAAGAAAAAAAGAATTTTTTGAAATGAGGAAAGTTTAAGGGACCTTCGGGACAACATCAAACATAACAGCATCCTCATCACAGAAGTACAAGAAGGAGAAGAGGGAAAGCAAAGAATTGAGAACCTATTTGAAGAAATAATGACTGAAAATTTCCCTAACCTGGTGATGAAAAAAGACACACAAGTCTGAAAAGCACAGAGTCCCAAAAAAAGATGAACCCAAAGAGGCCCACACCAAGATACATCATAATTAAAATACCAAAGGTTAAAGACAAACAGAATCTTAAAAGTAGCACAAGAAAGTTACCTACAAGGAAGCTCCTATAAGACTGCCAGCTGATTTCTCAACAGAAGCGTTTCAGGCCAGAAGGAATTGGCAGGGATTATTCAAAGTGATGAAAAAGCAAGGACCTACAACCAAGATTACTCTACCCAGCAAGGCTATCCTTTAAAATGGAAGGAGCAATAAATACTCTCTCAAATAAGAAAAATCTAAAGAAATTCATTGCCACCAAACTAGTATTATAAGAAATGTTAAAGGGTCTTCTTTAAGAAGAAGTGAGGAACATAATTATAAAGAATAAAATGTCGCCCGGCGAGACGTGGCTCAGTGGTTGAGCATCGACCTAGGATCCAGGCGACTGAGGTTCGATTCCCGGTCACGGCACATGCCCGGGTTGTGGGCTTGATCAATGACTCTTTCATCATTGATGTTTCTATCTCTCTCTCTCCCTCTCCTTTTCTCTCTCTGAAGTCAATAAAGATATATTTTTAAAAAAAGAAAAAGAAAATGTCAATAAATACAAACCTACCAATAATCACTTTAAATGTAAATGGATTAAATTCTCCAATCAAAAGATATAGGGTAGCTGAATGGATAAGAAAGCAAGACCCATACTGTCTATAAGAGGCCCACCTCAGATGAAAGGCACATACAGACTAAAAGTAAAGGAATAGAAAAAAGTATTTCATGGAAGTGGAAATGAAAGAGAGGCTGGGGTAGCAATACTAACATCAAACAAAATAGACTTTAAAGCAAAGGGTATAGTAAGAGACAAAGAAGGACACTTCATTATGATAAAGGGATCCATCCAACAAGAGGGTGTAACCCGTGTAAACATAGGAGCACCCAACATAGGGGCACCTGAATATATAAAGCAAATCTTGATGGATGTAAAGGGAGACACCAACAGTAATACAGTCACAGTAGGNTGAAAAAAGACACACAAGTCTGAAAAGCACAGAGTCCCAAAAAAAGATGAACCCAAAGAGGCCCACACCAAGATACATCATAATTAAAATACCAAAGGTTAAAGACAAACAGAATCTTAAAAGTAGCACAAGAAAGTTACCTACAAGGAAGCTCCTATAAGACTGCCAGCTGATTTCTCAACAGAAGCGTTTCAGGCCAGAAGGAATTGGCAGGGATTATTCAAAGTGATGAAAAAGCAAGGACCTACAACCAAGATTACTCTACCCAGCAAGGCTATCCTTTAAAATGGAAGGAGCAATAAATACTCTCTCAAATAAGAAAAATCTAAAGAAATTCATTGCCACCAAACTAGTATTATAAGAAATGTTAAAGGGTCTTCTTTAAGAAGAAGTGAGGAACATAATTATAAAGAATAAAATGTCGCCCGGCGAGACGTGGCTCAGTGGTTGAGCATCGACCTAGGATCCAGGCGACTGAGGTTCGATTCCCGGTCACGGCACATGCCCGGGTTGTGGGCTTGATCAATGACTCTTTCATCATTGATGTTTCTATCTCTCTCTCTCCCTCTCCTTTTCTCTCTCTGAAGTCAATAAAGATATATTTTTAAAAAAAGAAAAAGAAAATGTCAATAAATACAAACCTACCAATAATCACTTTAAATGTAAATGGATTAAATTCTCCAATCAAAAGATATAGGGTAGCTGAATGGATAAGAAAGCAAGACCCATACTGTCTATAAGAGGCCCACCTCAGATGAAAGGCACATACAGACTAAAAGTAAAGGAATAGAAAAAAGTATTTCATGGAAGTGGAAATGAAAGAGAGGCTGGGGTAGCAATACTAACATCAAACAAAATAGACTTTAAAGCAAAGGGTATAGTAAGAGACAAAGAAGGACACTTCATTATGATAAAGGGATCCATCCAACAAGAGGGTGTAACCCGTGTAAACATAGGAGCACCCAACATAGGGGCACCTGAATATATAAAGCAAATCTTGATGGATGTAAAGGGAGACACCAACAGTAATACAGTCACAGTAGGAGATTTTAACACCCCATTGACATCAATGATAGATCTTCCAGACAGAATATCAACAAGGAACAGCGGCCTTAAATGACACACTAGACCAGATAGATTTCATTGATAATTTTCAGAGAATTTCACCCCAAAGAAGCAGAATATACATTCTTTTCAAGAGCATATGGAACATTTCCCAGATAGACCACACATTAGGCCACAAAACAAGTCTCAAAAAATTGAAGAAGATTGAAATCATAAAAAGCATCTTCTCTGACCACAATGGTATGAAACTAGAAATCAATTATAAGAAAAAACTGAAAAACACACACATGGAAGATAAATAACATGTTACTAAACAATGAGATCAAGGAAGAAATTAAAAGATACCTTGAGGCAAATAGAAATGAAAACACAACACAAAATAAACAGGATGCAGTGAAAGCAGTCCTAAAAGGGAAATTCATAGCATTACAGGCCTACCTCAAGAAACAAGAAAATCCCAAATAAACAATCTAACCCTATACCTAAACAAACTAGAAAAAGAACAAAAAAGCCCAAAGTGAGTAGAAGGAGGGAAATAATAAAGATGAGAGCGGAAATAAACAAAATAGAGCCCAAACAATACAAAAGAGCAATGAAACCAAGAGCTGATTCTTTGAAAAGACTGGTAAACCTTTAACTAGACTTGCCAAGAAAAAAAGAGAAAGGACCCAAATAAAAGCAGAAATGAAAGAGGATATTGGGAGGAACACTCTGTAAAAGTATATGGTTGTCTCACCACTATGCTATACACCTGAAACTAATACAAAATAATATTAAATGTAAACTGTAACTGAAAATTTAAAAAGAGAAGTAACAACTGACACCACAGAAATACAAAGGATTATAAGAAAATATGACAAAAAACTTTATGCCAACAAATTGCACAATATGGAAGAAATGGATAAATTCCTAGGAACATACAATCTCCCAAAACTGAACCAAGAAGAAATGAAAAATCTGAACAGACTGATTACGTCTAATGAAATAGAAGCAGGAATAAAAAACTCCCAACAAACAAGTCCTGGGCTATATGGCTTCACAGGTGAATTGTACCGAACATTCAAAGAACTAACAGTGATCCTTCTCAAACTATTCAAAAAAATCCAAGAGGGAAGACTCCCAATCTCATTTTATGAGACCAGCATTACCCCAATTCTAACAAAGAAAGAAAATTACAGAACAATATCCCTGATGTACATAGATGCAAAAATCCCCAATAAAATATTAGCAAATTGGATCCAGCAATACATTAAAAAGATCATACACCATGACCAAGGGATGAAAGCTTGGTACAATATCCACAAATCAATTAACATGATACACCACAGTAACAAAGTGAAGGGGAAGAGGGAGCCAAGAGAAGTTTCTGATGAGTTGGATATGGGATATGAAAGAGGAGCTAGAAGCCATCTGAGACACACAATAGAATTGCCATTTCCCAACATGGGGCAGAGGGAAGGGGGCTGACATGGGAGTAATTGGAGTTTGAGGTCACACACCTCAGGTGCAGGAGAGAAGGTGAGTGGATGGTGGCCAGTGCACCTGGAGCTCAGGTGAAGATGAACACTGGAGCATGTGTCAGGCTGTCTACAAGCCCCGGTGCATGGAGCCACCACAGTGAGTGTGGACGGAGGGAGGAGCCCAGGGAGTGGGACTGGAGCCCGCCAGCATTTAGAGGTTGGGGCTATGAGGAGTCTTCAAGAGACTGAGGCCATCCATTCGGGAAGATGTGGACAAACTGTGAGCAAGCTCTGGAGGATGATCTCTGACAAGAGGCTTTGACAGAGAAGCTGCAGGGCTGTTTGGCAGGTCAGGAACAGTAAGCTGGTGCAGGAGGCCTCACCCTAAGAGAGGGCCAGTGTACCCCTGTGCAGATTTGCTTGAGAGAGTAATTTGTGGGGATTCTTCACTTCGTGAAAGGATTCACTGAAAGGTTCCTTTAAATTCTAGTTTCCTTTTACATTTTCCAGCAGAAGCCAACTTACATGCAGCTCTGCAGAAGCAGGCGCTGGTGTGAGGAGAGGGTGGGGATGCTCCTCCCCAGCACTGGCCGTGCCCAAGCAGTCTCAGTCTCAGTCTCAGTCTCAATCACAACTTAGCTCCGTGCTCTCTCTTCCCAAGAGCTCAGGATAGCTGGTGAGTTTGGCCAAAACTGGGACTTTGTCCCTTCTGACTGCCCAGCCATTGTCCATACTTTTCACATTAATAAGTCCCATTTCTCTGCTCCCAGTGGGACCCTGGGGCCAGCCCTGTGACTGTCTGCCCTTGACCTGGCTCAGCTTTCGTGCCAGGGGCTGCATATCACAGCTGCCCCAGCACAGGACTCGAGCCTGTGAGGCTGAGGGGGCCTCAGCAGGATTCCCCACCTATCTGTATGGCCTCCTGGTATGGGCCCTGTCCTGGGGAGGTGTTTGCTATTTGACTTGACTATTATTGAAGATAGTTTGTGGCAGTAAAATCCAGGTGTCGCTTGTGAAAAAAACTCACCCACTGTAGCTCACATGTGGAACTCTCCACTGTACAGCCGACTCTCACCCTCTGCCACCTGCACCAGAAGGGATCCGTATTGGACGTGGCTCCAAGGGCCCTTCCAGTCCACACTGACATTCAGGGGGATGGCGATTGGGAGAGACATGGTGAGCAGTCAGCCAGAGATAGAGGTTGGGAGGGGTGTGGTGAGGAGTCAGCATCTGGATCCTGAGTGCCAGCCGGGCTAAATGTGTGCCTGACCTCACACTGCTGCTGCTCTGGCCAACGGCAGCACAGACGTTATCAGAGAAACACCACCGGAGGGTCTGATTCAACTCTATTGCTTTATTGCAACTCAGGACAGCGAACTTGAGCCAAACCCTCGGCCCAGTCCCAGAACAAGTGCTTCAGTTCTGGACAGACAACTGCAAAGGAAGCTGCCTCTCCCTGAAGCCAGTTACAGGAGCCGAAGGAGGGGACTGTGCTGGCAGCCAGGTCTGCACTGGGCCTGCAGGACCGTGGCACCCAACACTCCAGAGGCGACCCCTCCATGCCACTGCAGCTGGGCCTCCTGCCCTCTCCCTCCTGACCCTCCCAGAGGCTGTGGTTCCTGCTGGGACCCACATCTCCTCCTCTTCTCACTGAGTAAAATGGGAAATGCTCCCTAATTCAGGAAAATGAGGGGCTGGGTACGTCCGTTTCTTGTAAGCTAGGCTTGCCATCCTCTTGGATGCATTTGGATGGGAATGGAAAATAGTCTCTCACTGTCTCTCACATGGAGTTTCCTCCAGAATCCCAGAGAAGGCTCAGGGAGGGCAGCAAAGAAACTGGGGTGAGAGCCTCCCTTCACTATCCTCTACAAACGGCGATAAAGCCACTGTTTCAGAAACATTAAAGGGCCCCGAGGGATTGGCCAGGCCAGGTGAGGACATTCGTAGGAGCACACCTGTGTGCAGCAGCCATGCCCAGCTAGTCAGGACTTCTCCTGAGACCCATGTGTCACCACACAGACATCTGACTAGACAGCCCAGACAGACGTCCCTCTGTCCTCTCCCAGGGGAGCAGAGAGGAGGAAAGGTGCCATCAACAGATCCCAGTCAAGAACCCACTCAGGTGAGAAGGGGTCTCTCCCTCACCAGCCCCTAGGCTGCCCCTGAAGGGAGCTCTCCCGACAGGCGTGCGCAAGGGCCTCCCGTCAGCAGTGAGGGGCACTTCTGCTCCTGCCACCAGAAGGCCCGGGAGGGCGGCGCTGCTCAGTTCAGGTACTGGTTCCTTCCGAGACGGGGTGTCTCGGTGAACTGTATCACCGGCCCTGCCATCTTCTCCTCGAAGACAATGACCTGGAGAGAGAAGCCTGGGGTATGACACAGTCCAGGTTCATCTTGAAGCCAGAGAGGGAGCCTTAGGGAAGGGGCTGGGAACTGGGCTACAAGGGACAGAGACCCACAACGCACCAGCACCGAGGACCCTGGAAGGGAAGGTCAGAGCTTCCGCCCCTTTCCTGCCCTAACCAGCCATAACCGACTGTGACAAGGGCCTCCCTCCTGCCCACCAGGGAGCATCATGATACCAGGGAGGGAAGGAATGAGACAGGGTCCTGGGAAGAAGGGAAGGGGCAGCAAGTGCTCCCACCTGGTTGATGCCTTGGTCCAACCAGACACCTGGGAGGTAGAGCGTCTTCTGGGGTCCAATGTTCCAGTAGCGTCCAAGATTTTGGCCGTTGATGAATACAACCCCCTTCTCCCAGCCCTTTAAGCAGAGCAGGGTAATTGAGTCACCATGAGAGCCAGCAAATGTGAAGTCCCCCATGAAGCAGAGATGGGCACATGCTCAGAGTCCTTCTCTTAGCTTCCAAAAGACCAGTGTGAACGAGCATTTGACAGCAATGAGATACCAACTGGAGTGTTCTGTCTCTTTCCCAACAGCTCTAACTTCCCAGGCAGGGTACCCAAGGTCACACTGGACATAGGAACCTGGACCCTGAGAAGCACCACTAGATGGTCCTTCTGCTTTGAGCCCACTTGCTCCAAGCCAGGGAGGTGCCAGGAACCCTTGCAGAGAGCAACACAAAGACAGGGACCGTCTAGGCACAGGTGATGGAGGGCTCCAGCAAGGCTTAGGAGAGCCTCATGGGGAGCAGCCCCTCCTCAGGGCATTTGAGGATGGACAAGAACCTAGGCAGGGAGGGGCTACGAACCTCCAGCTTCATAAAGGTGTCCAAAGGGGGGAGGTCAACAGGCAAGGCACCCAAGAAGAAAGCAGGGAATGTAGGTGCTTCAGGAACAAGGTTCCATGCGCTGGAGTTGAACCTACAGACAGAATAGAAGCACGGAAGGGAAGAGGGCACTTTCTCAGACCTGGACACCGCCTAGCAGTCCATCATCTAGTTGCAAAGGCACCTGTCAGCAGGGCCTAGGAATGGCAGCATGGGGGTGCCATGGAAAACCCCTAGTCTCCAGTGCCGACCCCATCACCACTTGGGCAAGTCGCTGTGGGCCCTGGTCTGTTCACACAAGTGAGGGGGGCAAGGACGGAGCAGCTCTCGGGGCCTGCCTGCTCTCTCTGCACCCAGGAGTGCACACACTGCCCTCGGTAGGGACCCACCTCTGAAAGAAGCTCTTTCTCATATCCAGGCTGTAGATTCTAAAGTTTTTCAGGGGAGAATTATTCAGATAGATATTTCCAATTATACCTGTGGGAAGGAAGCAAGGAAACATGAACAAGGCTAAAGGCAGGGGTTACCTGACTGGCTTCTGCCAGGCACATCCTTGGACAGTGCATACTTCCTATGGGGCTCATCCCATGGCCTCAAAGCTTCCCCATAAATCCTAAGGGGGTAGAATGAGTGTGCACCAGGCCCCAGGATCTGCATGGAAGAATACATCAGACAATGACAGAGCTGAGAATGGCAAGGGTGAGAACAGTCTATGGCCTCTCTGAGGAGAAGCTCCCTTTTAGGGTCTGAGAATCCCTGTACAATAAGATAGGGCCTAACGGGCATAGGACTGAGAGGTCACAGCAGTTCCAGCCTAGCTTCAAGGTCAGTTTTGGTGGAGTCCCAGATTAAACAGGCCTAAAAACTCAGCCAGAAATCTTCTACATGAACTAGGATTAAAGATACATGTTTTAAGTATTTAAATTATGAAAAGATGGCACTATGACTCTGGTGTCTAAGTCTGGGAAACTGCACACACTTGCACTGCGATTAAGTGTTGCCTGGGGGAAGGGGTCAGCTCTGTGGGTCCCAGTGCTGACCCATGGTCCTCTTGACCATGCAGCTGCTGAGTTGCTGGAGTGGGAATTTAGATTGGCTGGGGAATGAGAACAGCCTTCAGGGACTGCAGACTCTCTAGAATTGAAGGTCCAGGTGTGTGTGTGGGGCATACATTTCTGGAGCAGAGGTCTGTGAGTTATAAACACTGAACTGCTCCAGAGAATGGGAACTCCACAGGGAGAATTCAGGGCACACCTGGTTCGGGGGCCTGAGAGACAAAGACCGGGAAAGGGTCAGGCTGGCAGTCCCATCCCGTAAAGGAAGTGAAGACCAGCCTGGAGAGGGATCTCCTTGGGAAGAAGCTGAGAGCCAGGGAAGAATGCTGGGGAAAAGGGGAAGTGAGCCTGGACAGTGACAGAAGCTACTCTGAGGCCCTTCTGGAGAGGGCTGATCCCCAGGATCAGGAAGCCCCCAGTGCTGAACCACATGGCTTCCCTGGCAGAAAGGGATATGAAAGTTTCCTCATTATAAAGGCAAACTCCTGTGAGAGAGTTGGGAGGTCACCAATGTCCCTCCCCACAAGATATGTATTGTCCGAGTTCTTATTTCATAACTTACATGAAAACCAACCTTTTAATACAGATAAGAAGGAAGAGGCAAATTTAAGCAGACAAGGCTTAGAAAACCAGGAAAAACTAAATGAATTGGCAGAGTGTTCCTCGAGGGGCCTGCCATCAAGAGGATTGTTCACTGTGTATCCTGTGTTCTCCCACCACAAACGAGATCAGTGACTTTCCAACGTATATCAAGAAAAGAAATGCAATGTGGACACCCAAGAAGGTAGGAGTCTTTATGCCTTTTTTTGGATTTCTGGGTATCGCCTTGCTTGCCCCTCACACCACCCCCACCTACTAAGTAGACAGTGGCCTGCTAAAGCACCCTGAAGCCCAGGTAGATCTGGAGAAGCCAGCTCAATGTTCACTGTGCATTCACCATGGGCGTGTAGACAACACATACAGAGAATGCTATCAGAGAAGAGGTCAGAACCCAAGTGGGCCTTTCAGACCCACTTCCACCACCCTTCAATGGGCCTCCATGACCCACCTCACTGCAATGGGCCTCCATGTCCCACCTCACTGCAATCAGCCTCATGGCCTGCTGATGAGCTTGGATGGAGAAAGGATAGCCAGGCATATGCTGAGTGTCAGCAGCTCTTCTCTCAGCATGTGCTGTGACCCACCTTTGCGCTGGTCATCAATATTATCCCCGTAGTTGACTCGCCCGCAATTCTCCACCAAGATCCTCAGCATGGTGTAACCCTGCCAGGAACACAGTAGTCAGTGCTGGCTGCCTGACCACCCAGCCATAAGTTCACAGCTCTACCCTGGAGTTTCCCTGTAGAACTGCAATTCTTCCCTAAGCTCCGGGGATGGGTGTAAAAGCACCTCTGCTGATCAGAAAACAATGCTCTGCCCTCCTCTCCACGTATAGTGCTGGTTAAGGAGCCTCCTGTGTTCTAGGTCTTCTTCGATTCCCACCAAACCTGTTCAGGAAGTGACTGGCACTACCCACCACCCAGCTCCCCAGGAAACCAACCTGGATCAAGGGGATAATAATCTTCTTCCTTTTATAGTCCAAGAAGCCAAAAAATACTGTGTTCACAAATACCTGCCGGATGAACAGACAGAAAGCATCCATGGGTTGACAGGAGGGGGAGTAAGCGGACTCTGCTAAGCAAAGGAAGAGGTCACACTGTGTGCGTGTGCACTGAAAAGGACTGCACGCTGATGGTGATGGCCTGTGTCTACGCACTGTAACAGCGGGTATGTGAGCGCTACGGGGAGGTACACTCTACGGCTTGATCACTAGAAGGTCACAGGAATTAAGAGGAGACACTCCTACCTGTCCCCGGTCACGCACAAGACCACTGAGGACACCAGGTGAGTCGATGGTTGTCTCGTACAGAGTGTACCCAAAGGCCTGGCCATTTCCATTGTTCACTGGCAGGTTTTCCATGTTGATGGGCTTTTCAGAATTGGTTGGCTGTATAGAGAAAAGACAAGGGGAGGCCCAGGGCTCGTCAGAGGGGAGAAAAGGCAACATCCTCATCTTGATCCACTGGGGAGTACAGGGTAGTGGACAAACCTGACCTCTGGGCCTGTGTCATCTTCTCCTGCTCTCCAGAGTCACAGGGAAGGGGTATGTGAATGGGGAAGGTGTGAAAATAACAGAACAGAGCTCTGTGACGCAGTGGCCCTGTAGCTTTTTAATCCATCACTTTGGATCACAGCACCCTCTGCATCAGCCGCAGGAGGTGCACCCTCTTCTCGGAGGAGGTGGAGCATTCCTGCCTCCCCGCCCTCCCCTCCCGCTGAGCTGCAGAATCGGAATCCCTAGTGCCTTGCCCAGCTTTTCTTCGAGTTCTCTCTGTTCTTTCCCACTTCCTACTCTAGGATGAGCCTGTTCTCTTTTCTCTGAGTTCCAAAGTTGGAGAGTGGACCTCAAAGTTTTCAAAAGCCGGTTTTCTCTTCCTCCTCGACTGCTGGGAGGGGGCCCCTGGCCTTGGTGGCCGCACTCACCTCCTCCAGGTACTGGAGGGCATCCCACAGCGACAGGTACAAAGCTGGACTCAGTGACTCGTACGCAGTCTTGGGGAGAATTGCAGGTGGGGGAGGAAGAGTACCACCTGCAACATGACAGCAGGGCCGTCCCAAAGGACCAAACAGCCACTGCCTCCTCCAGCCCCACCCCCGTCACTGGCTCCCGTCCAAGGCCCAATGTGCTCCTCTATCCTAGTGCCACCCGGGACACAGCCCCACACCCCACTGGGAGGGAATGCCAGGGGAGCACAGGGGCCTTGCTCAAATCCTCAGGAGTCGTAACACCTATAAAAAGACGAACCTGGCAAGGCACAAACCACGATGAACAGCCTCTCAAGCTTGCCTGCCCTGCCTGAAGGCATTATTGCACCGCTGGGGTGAGAGGGGCAGTAAGGAAGTAACCCTGGAGGGGGATTTAGAGCAAAAGCGAGGGCCCAAGCTGGTGCTCAGGTGCTGCTCACCAGGTACCTGAGATGGAGCCAAAGAACTCTCGGAGCTTCGTGTACTTCGCTGTGTAATCCCCGGCCTCTGTCAGCACTGCGTCATAGTCTGCAAGACACCAGGGCACCCTCACCGGTCACTCATGTCCTGGTGTACGTGGCAGCAGAGAGAAGGGAGAAGCTGGGTCGAGCAGCATGGTCCTCGCCCAGCAATCTGGGAGGCAGAACACTTGGTACGGCTGTCAGAAGACTAACACCACCAAATACTATAAAATGCCACCAACTCTGCCCACGACCACAGCATAACCTTAAATTTCCAGGAGCCTTTCCCGCCTTCTGGAGGGCAGGGGTCACACCACCTCCGGGGCCTAAGCAGGGAAAAGAGGCTGCTCTTGTCTCAGGACTGTCCAGGTGGAACCTCCTCACTTCCTCCAGCTCATGCCCAGAGGCTCACAGGCCTGTCAGCTGGCCTCAGTCCCCCACCGCTCTGGAATTTTAAAAGTGACAATCTGGACACCTCCACTTTCCCCACCCAGACACTCCAGAGGCAAATACATTGAAGGTGCCGGAGGGGCCCCCAAAGGGCTCTCCATGAAAGCCCAGCCTCATAAATGTTGGAGTGCTCCGGGAGGGTCAGTGTTGCAGAATACTTGCCATAGCTGGTAACGTCGGACTTATATTCCTGAAAATGCATGGCTCCATTCATGAAGCCAAAGTTGGTGCCCCCGTGGAACATGTAGAGGTTGATGGAAGAGCCGGCATCGACGATGGCAGATACTGTATTTAAAACCTCTACAGGAGGGAGACAGGGGAATGTGCAGAGTGAGACAATCCACAGTCCCGAGGGCACTCTCACCTTTTCTAGTCCCTCCTCAAGCTCAAGTCCGCAGCTCTGTCCTCCAGCTTTTACTAAAACCCAGTCACAGAGGAGGAGAAATCACCAGAATCCCAGCCCCAGAGCTCAGACCTCCAGATGTTTTTAAAATCACAGCCAAAACTCCACGGACTACGACTTGGACCCTGCTGCCCAGGACGGCCTTGTGCCTCCAGCTGCCACTCCCACTCCCTGAGCGGCAAGGAGGTGGGACTCATAATTAGAGATACAGTGCCGACTACCTCCCTTCCTACCTCTGTTAAAGACTGAACCAATGACATGAGAAGACAGTATCGAAGGAGAAATACAAGTGGTTAATAAATATAAATATATTTTTATATATGCCTCAGTATTGGTCAAAGAAATGTGAAATAACAATGGCCTGTCAGATTGGGAAATACGAACCATTATTTCAGTGCTCAGTGTTGACGAGCCTGTTGCAAACGGGTATCCCCCCCCCTTCAACAATGGAGAGCTCAGAACTGCTCCAGTCCTGGGAAGCAGTTCAGTAAATACATGTTAAAATTGCATTCACATAGCAACTGTATTACTAGGAACTTCTCACTGGGAAAAATATGCCAGGTGTTCAAGAATGCTCACTGAAACTGCGCAGTAGCAGGACACAGGAAACAGGCTCAGTGTAGACCAGTGGGAGGCGGAGTCAAGGAGCTGGTTCAGACAGCAAAAGAATGCGCTTTGGGCATTCTTTAAGCAGTGACGGAGTTTATATCTAATAGGACAGAAAGCTCACCATTGTGTCACTCACTGGCACACGCAGGTGACGCGTTCTGCCCAGAGAACGGATGTGACGGCATTTGGCCACATCTGTAAGTGCACAAAGGGCTGCAAACGGAGGAAGAGCCAGAACTTTCTGCAGGGACATCGCCATGTTTTCTCTGGGCTCTAGGACTTGTATTTCTTCTTTATACATTTTCTATATTTGTTGAATGTTTGCAATAGGCATGTGTTACTTATCTAATTACAAAAACACAATAAAGCAATTTAAAAATCCTACTGTTCTCTTCAAATGTCAAGACAAACGGTTCTGGACTATCAAGAGCTATTACATGCAAATAACCACAATCAACTAGCAGGTCATCAGAACTTATTCCTACTTCTTAGGTCAGCATGCATGTTGGATGTAGGGACTGCAAGCACTTACCAGAAGAATCCAGGATGTTGTGTGGGCCCCCCCAGCAGTCAAACCATCCCGTCCAGTACTCCATCACCATCTTGGGCTGAACACCCTGGGCATCATAAAATAAGAAGTTAGCTGGTCAAGAGAGGCAGACAGAGGGGAGCCCCTCCTTGAGGGCAATGCCAACCCCTCTGTCCTGCCAAGTCATCCCCTCCCCAGAGCCCACTGAAAGCGAGCACAGCTGAAGACAAAGGCACCTGCACCGGCTCGGCCTCCAGATGTGGCCTCCACGGTGCAGGTGGAGAGTGGAGCAAGCTCCCCAGGTGAGTAGCCCCACTGCACACGGTTCTGCTGAGAAAACATGGGCTCTGTTAAAAGTTAAGCTTCATCAGAATTCAGCAGCTGCCTCAGGTATCTTCTCCTACATCGACATGCTTTCTGGATCAGGCCAAGCTTTGCCTGTCCTCTCCCAGGAGGGGGGGGGGGCGTCAAGACAACCCCTTCTGAGTGCACTGGGCAGATGCAGAGCCCTCTGTTGCTGCCCCCTTCTAGCTGGGAGAGTCAGAGGCTTAGAGCGGGCCCTCTCCACGATCCCATTACGTTTCAATAGAAGTTTACAAGATCGGAGCTGAAAGCAGGACCTTACGGTGCAGTTTCGCAGAGCAGGCTCTGCAGCCACCACGGCTGCTTCACAGCTGGGGGGGGATCTTCAGTAGGTCTGAGGCGTTACTTCAGATGCTGACTTTAGCACAGGGTTGTCCCAGGGATACAGACCTTGTCCCAGGACCGTGCTCTAAGCTATACATTTGCAGCAGCACCGGGGGGGAGCGGGGTGGGGGCTATGCTGGTATTTCAGGTTCCACTCAGAGCCTTCCTCATTTACCAACCTCCTCCTCTGTCAGTGACAGCAATATGTTTAGAGGCAGCTGAATACAAAATCCGACCCCAGGTGGTGCAGATTTATGGGCCATTGAGCAAAAGGCACCAACCATGCCGGGGGAAAGGCCAAAGTAGTGCAGTTAACTGTTCTGGCAAGACTGGTGACCGGGTTTTCTTTAGAGCTGTCTACTTCCCGAAAGGGCACATACTGTATGACATTTAAGTTACTACGGAGGAGAAGCAGATTCCAAGTCCCGCACATCGTAATCTCCAGTGCCAGGAGGGGGCTCTGACTCGAGGGTGCTGGGTGCTCCCAACGGGCAGGTCAAGCTGGAGCCATTCACCCACTCAGCCTGTGCTGCACACCCAAACCTGCCCCTATTCCCGGATGTTGGATCCATCCTATAAATATGTCTCCTTAACTGTAACATGGTAAAGATGGTCGCCAGCTCACAGGGGTCCTGGGAAAACCCACTGAGATCATGCACACAGAGCCCCTGGTACACAGTGCCTGACACCTAGGGGGTACTTAAGAAGCATTCACCTCCATGGTCTCCATCAGGGAACATGGGCATGCAAGACCAGCGAGTGCTGCTGGCACCCTGAAGGGAAGCAGAGCTGGGTCTGCCCTGAGGGACCTTCAAAGGAGGCTTTGACCTAAACAAGGACACACCCATCCCTTCCTCCAGGGAAACGGAAATCACTGAACTGCGGAAATCACTGAGCAGCACCTCTCTGCCCACAGGATGGGCCAGCCAAGGCACACAGGTGAGGCCTTCTCCAAGGGTAACAGAAGGGATCAGCATGAAGCCCTGCTGCCCAGTGCTTTCCAAACATGACCTTGTGTGACCTCAAACAGCCTGTGAGTGGGTACCGTCATCATTCCTGCTTCTCCAGAGGACATGGAAGCCCAGAGGGACCTCACAGCACATGGATAGCCCATGGGCAGCTCGTGGCTCCCTGGGCTGCTCCTCACAGCACTTACTACAATCCTACTTAGCTCCTGGGCAGCTATTTAACATGCCTCTTCCCAGCAGGTGATGGCGCCAGGAAGGCAGGCCCTGTTGTCTTAGTGACCGCAGGGCAATGGCCCAGACCCACTCCAGTCACAGAGCAGGACCAGTAAATACCAGAAGAGGGAGAGGAGAGGTAGGAGGGACATGAAGAAAGGAGGGGAGGGAGGGAAGGAAGGAGGGAGGAAGGATGGAAGGAGAAAAGGCTGGACATGGCCACGGTATCCATGTTTCTCCCCTGACCTGCCTAACAACTGCCTGGGGCCGGAACTCAGCTGTCCCATCTTTCCCAAGGCAACTCCCCTGCCCATTCTGCTGGGCCCCTAAACTCCAGGAACAGCTGTGTCCCTCATCCTACATGATTCCACACTGTGTGGTGACTTCATATGGTTGTGTCCCTGCCTCTGCCCTAAGAGACAAGCTGGGATGCAAGCAGCCCCCGCATCTCCACCTTGCGGCTGTTCACAGGCACGCAACTGCTCCGCTCCGGCTGGGGCCATGCGCGTGGCCGGCAGCTGGGGTCACTTTCACCCTCAGGTATGTGGGGTGAGAGGCAAGGCCTTTCAGTTCTGCGAATGCCACAGCTATCTCCTCAGGAGAGACACACAGACTGGAGATAAGAGGAATCTATCAGAACAGGATGTAACTGTAAATTCCATCCATCTGCTGGATGCTGATACATCCAGAAACTCCTCTCTCCTGACCTGGAGTGGGCCAGGCTTCCTGTCTTGCTGGTGACAATGATCTTCCTCAGCCAGAGGGGCTTTGCAGGTTAAGGTCAGGCGTGTACAATGCGGGGCATTCCCCCCATCCCAGGGCCCAGTCTGAGCAGTCGGGACCTAGCTGCATCCACAGAATTCCAGCCAAGAGGCCTGGGCCAGCACACCCAGCCTAGAGCTTCAAAACAACCCCCTTCTCCACAGGGGGAACCACACTCATGGGTCGGCCCACACAGCAACGCCTCAGAGCTGCTCCCCTTGCCCGGGGCGGGGCCGTATGACACGGGGGGCTGGGGTTTGTGGAGTGAAAGAGGGGCTATGAGCTGAAAACCTGATAGAGCCAGAGTCCCTCTCCCCAGGGGCACCCTGGTGCCATGGCAGGCAGGCAGGCAGGCAGTCCAAGGCACAGCAGACTTCCTGCAAGAGGCTCCATTTAACTACTCTCGAGAATCCCTACACTCATACTGAGCAGGGAGGACAGCTTTCCCAGGGCCACTCACCTGGACACTCAGGAGAAAGGGGGTTAATAACTGAACGTCCTGCTGTGACTGTAAGTTGATGGTGGCCAGCACTGCGAATGGACAGGAGAGAAGAGAAACTAAGTATTGTCTTAAAGCCAGACAGACTTTCTGAATCACCCCAGACCTTTCTTAACTCACCAGCAAAATAAATGAACTAATCTTGACATTGTTTCCCACCTGCAATTAGAGTTTAGTTCCTCTGACATCAGATGTACTCTGTTCATCTGGACAATTACCACTCCGCACAGACCTCCTGACCACCCCCACTGCAGAACCCGGCTCTAAGGCTCCCTGACCACTGCTGTCTGCCACGCAGTAGGCCTCACATGTGCTGGCTGTGGCTTGAGGTCCAGTGGTCCTGGAGAGGCATGAGAGATGGAGCCAGCCTGCCAGCTAGCCACCTTCACACTGTTGGGCATGAGCCCCTGATTACCAGAGACTAAAAACAAACAAGAGCTAGGGCTCCTGAGGTTAAATAACTCGCCTCAAGGTCAGAGGACTGGTGAGCAGCAGAGCAGAACTGCACTCCAGGCCCATCTGACATTGACCCATTGTCCTGCAATGTCACTGTCCTCCCGAGACCCCTGGGGAAGACGCCACATCTAGCCACTCCTCCCCTAAAGTGGAAACTCCCTGAAGACAGGATGCCTGCCTGAAAGTGACCAGGCAAACACCTGAGACATCAGCAGGATTAGCTTGGCTAACTGAACACAGCATCTACTCCTACCCTCCTGGAAGGCCGTAAGGAACAGGACCTGGAGAGGAGATGCTTTCAAGAAATGCTTTCAAGCAGAAATGCTTTCAAGCAGAGATGCTTTAAAGAAAATCTTGGGAGACTGAAAAGGGAGTGTTGAGAAATGGCCTAGGAAAGCGGGAGTTATGATGGGCTCATCACCTCACATCCAAGGCACTGTGCATGGGAAGACATCCCAGCCCTGCCCCGCGCACCCCTCAGGCCTCTT